CCTGCCTCCCGCGATCTGTCCACACCATAGACCTCGTCATAGCACATTCCTGCTTTATGCATTGCCCCCTCCTCCAGGCTCAAGTCCTCCGTCCCTACCAAAGCACACAAGCCTTTTCCCAATTTGTACCCTGCTCACGGTCTCTCAGAACCCCCATCCGAGCCATTCCTCGCTGTCTTTTCATTCATTCATTCCTTCATTCATTCGTGTCTTCAGCCATTGTTTTCCAGGGCCTACTCTGGGTAGTACAGGATCTGCTGGGAACCCCTCACCCTGGCCAGTTCATACTTCTTGTCCACCCCAAACACCCTGGCTGCCTTTCAGGGCCCGGTGCCTTCTCACACACCCCGTTCTCAGCCTTCGAGCCCCCTCCATGAGCTATTCCCTGGGTCTCCCTTTCATTTTTAAAAATATATATTTTTATTGATTTCAGAGAGGAAGGAAGACGGAGAGATAGAAACATCAATGATGAGAGAGCCCACAACCCGGGCATGTGGCCTGACCGGGAATCGAACCGTGACCTCCTGGTTCACAGGTTGACGCTCAACCACGGAGCCACGCCGCTGGGCACCCTGAGTCTCCCTTCCAGATTGCATATTTTCCTCTGAGCTCCACGACCTTTGGCTTTTTTTTCCCATTAAAGTTATGTGTTGTGCAAAACAAACAAACAAACAAAAAGTTATGTGTTGTGCTAATCCTCCTCCTGAAAAAATCGCCATTGTGGCTCCTGTCTCAGTAAACCTTTAAGAGGCATAGAAGTCAGTGTCCCTAGCACTGGCTTCATCTTCTCATCTTGTGAGCGAGAGGCCTTGTTGTCTTCCTGCCTGGAGTTTGGGGCTGAAGGAAGGCCTCTCGGGCGGACACCAGCATGACATGGCGGTGCCGTAGAGGAGGCAGCCCCTGCGGGAACGCATGACAGGGTCCGAGTGGCCCCCACTGCCCCGGCCCCACCCGTGGGCCGGAGTGAGCTTCCCTGCTAACCCTGCACCAGGGTGCAACCCAGCCAAGGCTGTGCCGTGGCTCCTGTCCACTGAGCGAGAGCCTGAGGAATGCCGGGCGTGTGAGTGATGTCTGGACCCGGCCCAGGGGGCCCCTCCTGTATTTGGCCACGTCATCTTTCCTAGGCCTGCCCCTCCGTGTTTGCACATAACAAGAGGGGCCTGGTCACCCCCAGGGCTGGAGTGAGGGGCTGACAGGAGAGTGTGCCACCTCCCAGGGACCTGGAAACCATCCCACTGAAATCGGAGGGCCCCGCATGAACTCCCGGTTCCCAAGGCCTTACACACACCCCTCCCTCCGTTCACCCCTACTTCCCCCTCGTCCTCGGCCAGCCTTCTGCGTCCTGGGCTCCTTCCCAGCCCTTGGGGGGGGGGGGGGCACTGAGCTAAGCAGCGCCATCCGGCGGGGGCCTGGGGCCTGGCCCTCCTTTCAACGCCCCCATCTTTATTTCCTGGCGCCTGGACCACAGCGCTACCCAGTGAGCCGTGTGTGGTCCCGTGAGCTTCCAAGTCCATCTCCCCACTGGGCTGTGAGCTTCCGAGTCCAGAGCAAGGAGCCTGCCCTGTTCATGGCCGCGTCCCGCTGCCCCGCAGCGCTCAGCACACGGAGGCTGAGCACAGGTTCCGCGATCCCTTTCTAAGACCGCAGGTCACGGGTTCAGGGTCCGGCACGAGTCCCCCGGAGGCTGCAGGAAGGCGCCGGTGGAAGCGCAGACGATTGGAGTCTCCATTCCAGC